AACAATGCTAGATAAGAAATGTGCTCATTACCTTGCCCATGTAATTGTAACCCCTCTGTACAGTATTTTCACAATAAAAAACATTTTAAAAAATGAAGAAGAACATGAACTTTTAGCACTGGGAGTTCACAGAAAATCTCTAAATGAGGTTTGTTCAGGACAAAATTGCTCACTGGCGGTACTTGAAAACCTAATTTGTGTTAAGATTTTATGTCATAATTGTGAGTGTAATTCCTAAGTAGAGCTTAGGAATTAGTTAATTACTACAGAGTAAGTAAAAATCTTGCAATTTAATGGTCCCATCTCCAAAAGTAATGTTACAATGATCTGGTAGTTTTGTTTCCTGAAGCCTTTCTCCTATTAAGGATGGTAGAAGCCCAGTGTCAGTGTCATACTATCCACCTGAAATCCCCAGCAACCTAGGAAGCTGAAGCAGGAGGAGGATCGTAAGACCAGTCTGGGCTGCAAAGTGAGATTCAAAGTCCAAAACAGCAATTGGACCTGAGCTACCAGAAATGGGGTCTTGGATGGTTTTTAGAACAGCTGTGCCTCATTGTGGACCCAGGTGCCCCCTCTAGGGGTGGGACAGGACACCGCAGCTTGGACTTCAGGGATAATGAACTCTGTGTGAAAGGGCCATAGGGTCTGCTACAACTTTTTTTGGGTGCAGGTCCTAGGGTTTGAACTTGAGCTGGTGCTGTCTCTGAACCGCGATTCTCACTCAGATCTCAGCCTCCTGAGGAGCTAAGACTTCAGGAGACTACAGGTATGAGCCACTGGCATCCAGCTTGCCGCAAAGTAACTTGTCTTTGTAGAGTAAAGCAGCTACAAGTAATAATAGCAAGGCCATCTTCCAATAGCACTTACTCATGGATACCGAAATCTAAACTTGGTATAATTATGTGTCACAAAATAATGTCTTTCATTTTTTTTACTACTGCCAATCACTGGGGGGTGGGGGAGGAGGGAATACCAAAAACTCACAGCTGGGCACTGGTAGCTCAGGCCTGTGATCCTAGCTACTTAGGAGCCTGAGATCTGAGGATTGTGGTTTGAAGCCAGCCTGAGTAGCAAAGTCCTAAAGTGGAGTTGTGGTTCAAGTGGCAGAGTACTAGCTTGGAGCACAAAAGCAAAGGAACAAGCCGGTGAGATCTGAATGAGGATTGTGGTTCAAAGCCAGCCCAGGTGGAAAAGTCTGTGAGACTCTTATGTCCAATAAACCACTCAGAAAATCAGAAGTGATACTGTGGCTCAAGTGGTCGAGCACTAGCCTTACGCTGAAGAGCTGAGGGACAGTGCCCAGGCCCAGAGGTCAAGCCCTACAACTGACCAAAAAAAAAGCTAAGGAACACCACCCAAGCCCTGAGTTCAATGCCCAGGAATAGCACAAAAAAGCAAAACAACAAAAATCACCCAGCTGGTGGGCTGTCCAACAGCAAGTGACAGGCTGTATTTAGTCTGTGGGCCATGAAAAGACTTGTGGGCACAGTGTGGTATAAAATAGGATTGTTGGGTTTGATTACGTATACATGAGGGATTTCCCATCATGCTTAAGGTCCTGGCTCTGGACAGGAAGTGCAGAGGCACTGGTGCAGGACAGGCATTTGGGTCTACATTGTGCTATCTGACGCCTTTAGCATCTGCATTTCCCCTTCAGTCACCGGCATATACGCATGTAGACGGTCATTGTGAAACTTTTTTTCTTTTTCCAAATTCTAGGTAAAAACAACATCCGTAACAAAATCATGAACACTTATTTACAAGTGAGACACTTTCCATTACCACATCAGTTTTCACGGTAATGTGGGGAGTATGTGCAACTCTGCATAAGTAATAAGAACGTTCAAAACTGCCATTGTCCCGACAGCACTAATAAATGCCACCGGGTGTTGATTTTGAACGTTAGAGCTTTTATTTCCTTTGCTCACATATCCTTGATGTTGCCAAGAAGGAACTGGAGATTGCCAATGGCAGCAAAAGCCTGGTCCGTCACAGGTACGTGGTCTCTCAGAAAACACATTTAAGATTGGTTCTAAACTCTTGCTTCTGAAACCATCCACCGGCCTGCTGAAGGTCAAAGCTGTGCGCTTCTCCATTTGGCCATTTTACTTATGGAGTCCTGAGTGTGCCTGTCCCCTGGGACACTGTCACAAGGCTTCATGCTTCTCCATCCAGGCCATCCCAGGGGCACTGTGGAAGGCAAGAACTCCCGAAATGGATCCTTTATTCTTCTGTTCTGTTTCCATACGTGTCTCACCACCGAACAAGAAAGGCCGCTGTGTATCTCCACGCAGCTGCAGACTTCCATCACAAGCTGCTGGGACTTGGCTCCGTCCACAGAAGAGGTCCCATTCGTCAAGAGTGGGAAATACCCTACTTCCTCAGAAAAGCTGGAAGCCTGAAAACTAGAGGACATTCATTCTCTCAACCCTTTGTCCCTCGGCAGGTAAACAGCCAAGAAAGGATAATATCCCCCCACATTCTAGCTAGATAGATGGCCACGTGAGGCTTTCTCCGGTTAGGGTTGTTGTTGACTATATGACTTCACTGAACTTGTGCTTTATTTCTCTTTGGAATGGCAGTTCCAGGAATCATTAAATAGAGTATTAACAAGGGAGGATGTCAGTGTCCTAGAAATGACTGTATCCATCTACTGGAGGACAAGGCCAACCTGGAGGAAGGAGGCAATGGAACAGTAAGACCAAACATGACCAAAGTTCCCTCCCAGTGTAGAGCACTGGCCAGGGAATTCGGTGCGCATAAACCCTCAGCCGGCTACTCTCACCTTTTCAGAATCCGTTCCTGGACACCTCCAGTTGTACAAATAATACTGTAAATTTCCATCTCCAATACCAAACTTGAGTTTTTCCAAGAAGGTCTTATTCTCCATCAAATCTAGGGCATTGAAGACATCGAATCCTTTCTGCCAATTTAAAAGGGATTTAATACATCAAAGGACTGTTTTCTACTTTGTGTATTTAGTACCACATAATTCCTCTACTAGTAGCTCAAGTATGCATTTGCCATAGTTCGATGTCTGCAGGATAAAGTACAGGTCAGGAACTAAGTACAAAACTGTGTGAACACTAGTGTTCAATCTGACGGAGTCAGCAAGATATTTCAGAAATGCTGAAGCAAGAAATGGAGTCTGACAGCTGGCTACCAGGCACTGATAAAAGAGCACTTCCGTTTCAGATGTCTGTCTGCGCAGTTCCTTCTCCAGGATCGTTCACTACTGACCTTTCTGAGTCCTGACTCAGCTGAAGCAATTTCCCCAGGAAACAGAGCTGTAACAGCATGTTTTTCTTGGGCTGATCCCGAAAAATCAATTGAAATTTTTCATAGTAAAAATTTAATTTCTTTAAAACTACTAGGTAAGCTGGGCACTGGTGGCTCATGTATAATCCTAGCTACTTAGGAGGCTGAGATTTGAGGATCACAGTTCAAAGCCAGCCTGTGCAGAAAAGTCCCTGTGAGACTCTTATCTCCAATTAACCACTCAAAAGTTGGAAATGGCACTGTGGTTCAAAGTGGTAGAGGGCTAGCCTTGAACACAAAGTGGCTCAGCAACAGTGCCCAGGCCCTGAGTTCAAGCCCCACAACTGACAAAAAAAAAAATTAGGTAAGACAGGTGCCAGTGTCTCATGCCTATCATCCTAAACTACTCATGGCTGGGAGCTGAGGATTGAAGTTCAAAGCCTGCTTGGGCAGACAATTTCAAGAGACTCTTATCACCAATTAACCAGCAAAAGCCAGAAGTAGGTGTGGCTCAAGTGCCAGCCATGGGGGTGGGGGTGGGTGGGACTATGCAAGAGAGTAAGCATAGGTGTACACACACACACACACACACACACACACACACACACACACAGTAAGTAAAAGTCTTAGATAATCCTCAAAATATATAGAAGCACCTAGGTTTTTATTTCTCAAGGTTTTGACCTTAAATAACTTATTATTGATCATTTTGGGGAGGTTGCTGAAAAAGAGCAATCTGGAGATAATGCTGATTTGGGCTTCCAAAAAGTAATAGATTTGGCCAGAAGTGGGTGGCTCACGTCCATAATCCAGCTATTTAGGGGGCTGAGATCTGAGGATCATGGTTCAAAGGCAGCCCAGGCAGGAAAGTGTGTGAGATTCTTATTTTCAAATAACCAGAAATGATACTGTGGCTCAAGTGGCAGAGTGCTAGCCGTGGGCAAAAAAGCTCAGGGACAGTGCCCAGGCTCTGAGGTTCAAGCACCAGGACTTGCACAACAACCACAACAAAAACCCAAAAGCACTACATTTGTAAAACCTGTTTTCAGGGCTGGGAAGGTGGCTCAGTGGTAGAGCGCTTGCCTTGCATGCATGAGGCCCTGGGTTCGATTCCTCAGCGCCACATAAGCAAAAAGAAAAAAGCCCGAAGTGGCGCTGTGGCTCAAGTGGTAGAGCACTAGCCTTGAGGTGAAGAGCTGAGGGACAGTGCCCAGGCCCAGAGTTCAGGCCCCATAACCGGACCCCCCAAAAAAACAAAACAAAAAACAAAACAAAAAAACACCTGTTTTCAGTGATCAAATTCCAGACAAGTAAAAGGAAATCATTTTGATAATCCAGTTCCAGTTTTAAATGAATAATTATCATCAAAACCTATGCTTGTCAGCTGACTCAAAACTTTTTTAAAGGAAAGCATCCATTTGCAGCAAAATTTAACAGCTATCCTAACTTACAGACTGAAGGAACAGAAAAATAATAGGGTAAGTTTACATTATGAATTTGATTCCATACAGTGACTGCTTACTTGAACCCCAAACTTACAGTGACAGTCCTTTAACTCTGCCTTTCTGAGAAGAAAGGAGGAACTGGAAATGTTTTTTTGTCTATTTCCTAGTTTATCCTGTACTAACACGAATGCTTGCTAAAACTTCCAAGGAAAGAAATGGAAACAACAGGCACTAAAGTTTTGAAGAAAGAACATGGGTAGGAAGCTCGAGACACAGAGGCCTCCCACTCACCAGCTTAGCAATGACCAGCGCGTCACTCATGAGGTCCAACAGGGGCGTCTCGGTGTGGATGTTGTAGAAGGAGTAGGCGGCCTTGAGGCTCTTGTGGGAGGGGTGGTGCATGATGGTGGAGGGGAGTGTGTAGAAACTCAGGAAGTCTGTCAGTCTCCCGCTGGGGCTCTGGGGGCACAGATGACGTCAGGTAAGTACTTGCTTGGAACCAGCTGAGGAGCTCAGTGAGCTCTAATGTGTACGGTAACACTCTTCCCCATAAAAAGCAACAAGCCAAGATTTCCTTTTCTGTAGCCCAGTGTGAGCCTCAGATGTTGTGTTGGGCTAAAGCCAAGAGAACAAAGTTGCATAGACCTTTAAGGGAAGTCCCAGTCAGTGATTTGCATGAAGTTCCTAGAAAGCACAATTGCCCTGACAACAAGAATTTCTCATGTTGACTCATGCGTCAACTGTCTATGGAACAGTGACCACAGACGCATAGCCATGCACACCTGCTATCCTAGCTACTTGGGAGGCTGAGAATAGGGAGGATAGTGGTTCAAGGCCTTCTGGGCCAAAAAAGCTCACATGCTTCCCACTATCCCATAGCTGGATGTGGTGGAACATGCCCAAATGGTTCCTATTAAGTCAGACACTAATGAGATTTGCAAACATGCACGATTATTTTCACTAATTTTATTGTGAATCAGTGAGAAACACTAATTCATTTTGCAAATAAAATATATTCCTTAAGAAACATTCAATGGATTTTGGCTATCACTCTGTCATTTTTTTCACACAAAGCAATAAAAATCTAAATTAAAAAAGATAACTAAGCTGCCTATATATACAACCAGAAGAAAAAAGAAAAAGAAAAACCCTTCGGCATCCTCAAGAATTCTTTGGATGCTGAGATTAGAAAGGGGAAGAGCATCAGTATGTAAACCTTTGTTCATAAATGCATCCACACTTAGCTGTGGCTCAAGTAGTGAGTGCTAGCCTTGAGCACAAAGGCTCAGAGACAGCCCAGGCCCTTAGTTCAAGCCCCAAGATGGACATCACACACACACACACACACACGGAGGCCAGTCTTGGCCGGACACACACACACACACACACACACACACACACACACACGGAGGCCAGTCTTGGCCGGACATGTACCACACACACACACACACGGACACACACACACACACACACGGAGGCCAGTCTTGGCCGGACACACACACACACACACACACACGGAGGCCAGTCTTGGCCGGACACACACACACACACACACACACGGAGGCCAGTCTTGGCCGGACATGTACCTCCCCCCCACACACACACGGAGGCCAGTCTTGGCCGGACATGTACCCCTGTCATTCCAGAGCTCAGGAGGCAAAAGCAGGAGATGAAGCCAAGGCAAGGGATTGTAAGCAGAAACCAGAGTCAAGGAGGAAGAGGAGGAAAAGCACCCTCCGGTCATTCCGGAATATGAGCTTCATCACGCCAGTTATTACCCTAGCTTTACCTCCACTACAAACGTGTCGATGATGTGCTCCTGGGGCAGGAACCAGTGGGCCACTTCCTCCTCATCCATCACCGGAGCCAGATGAAACTGCTTCAGGTAACGGTTGATCAATCCCTGAACCGCTTTGATATCTTTTGGTTCCATTGGCCTCAAACCTGAAGTCTTGGTAACCTTGTTACAAGGAAAATAAAGCAGACCCGCAAGTATAAATTCCAGGGGAGCAGAAGAACTTTGTGTCCCAAGTGGGCTCCCCAGGAAGGTAACACATACAGAAACTGTAGGACCTCGGCTCAGACCTATGCAGTTACACACCTGCCATCTAGCAAGATTGCCTGGTGACTGGACTGTGCACACATTAAAGCTGGGCAAACACCAGCTTAGACAATGTCCCCATGGGGCAGGTCGACTTCCAGAACACCAGAGTATGTGGCACGTCGTTTTACAGTCTACTTGGTGGCAGAACGATTGCAGGTGAGGAAAGCCCAAGAGACTCTTTTTTTCCAAAGCCAGAAGTAGAGCTGTGGCTCAAGTGGTAGAGCACTAGCCTTGAGCAAAAAAGCTCAAGGCCCAGGCCCTGAGTTCAGCCCCAGGCCCAACAAGAATAAAAACAACAACAGGGCTGGGAAGGTGGCTCAGTGGTAGAGTGCTTGCCTCACATGCATGAGGCCCTAGGTTCGATTCCTCAGCACCACATAAGCAAAAAGAAAAAAGCCGGAAGTGGCGCTGTGGCTCAAGTGGTAGAGCGCTAGCCTTGAGCTGAAGAGCTGAGGGACAGCGCCTAGGCCCAGAGTTCAGGCCCACGACCGGACCAAAAAAAAAAAAAAAAACAACAACAACAAAAACCCAGAAGTAGTATTGTCATGGGTCCAACTACATGGTATGAACTGTTTCAGAGCCAAGATTTCAAAGCAGAGATGTAAGCAATGATTGTTAGACTTGATGTTAAACAGTATTTAAAAACAATCACCTATACAACTAAACAAAGACCCTACCTTATGTGTCTTAGAGCAAGCACTACCTTACAGGGCTAACCTCGCCTGCACCCTGGCAGGTTAATGAGACTCCTTGTGCCTTTTTTTCATCTACTTCAAACTCCTTTACCTTTAAGGGACACTATCCTTCTCCAACTTTGTTTGGAAATACTCAACTCAAAGTTAAAAAAAAACAAAACACAAGGAAAAGTTGGGAAGCCATGTTTCCTGAGGAAACAGCATTTGAGGGAACCGGGGCTCTGGGGTGGGTGCTGGACCAGCTCTGCGGGTGAAGTATTCTCACACTACACTCACACACTACACAATCCAATTGGAAAAAAATGTAATTTAGCTCATGTCTTTAATCCCAGCTAGTGGGGAAGTGGAAAGAGAAGCCTGCCAAAAGCTAGTTAAGACCCTGGCCTCTCAAGCTGCCATGCTGTGTAGGCTGCCCTATGGAGAAGATCATGTGGTAACGAGCAAGGGAAGTTTCCAGCAGCCTGCAAGCAACTGAGGCCCTTGGCCCGCCAGCCAGTCCTGTCAACAGCCAAATGAACCTGACTGACCCAGTTAAGTCAGATGAGACCCCAGCCTGGCTGACTCCTGCCGACCCCCTCACAAGAGACACAGAAGCAGGCGCATTGGAGTGAGTAGTGGCTGGGCCCCACACCCATGGAGCCTGAAGAGAAATAAGGGCTGGGATGTCACTCAGTGGTTGAGTGCTCACCCACCATACTTAAGGTCCTGGGTTCAATCCCCAGCACAAACAAAAGAAATAAAACGTACTGTTTTATAAGCTTTTCTGTTTGTGATCGTCTGTGTTATGAGGCAAAAGATTAATAATATATCATCCAAGCCCACAATAAAACCCAGACTATACAGTACATTTAAATATTTGAGAGAGCTATCTTTGGCCAAGCATGGTGGCTCATACTTGTAATCCCAGCTACTACCCAGGAAATGGAGATAAGAGAATTACAATTTGAGGCCAGCTTGATCAATATAAATGTTAGTGAAAGATCCTATATGAAAAAAACTACAATGTGGCATGGACTTGTTTAGCAATTATGTAGAGACAGAGAGAGAAAGTGAGTGAGATGGAGAAAGAAAGAGAAAACTTTTCATTTAATCACATTCAATTACAAACCTTTTTTTTGTGTTGTGCCAGTTCTGGGGCTTGAACTCAGAGCCTGGTTGATGTTCCTGAGCGTTTCTGACCAAGGCTGGTACTCTACCACTGGAGCCCATAGCTCTACTTCTTTTTAGAGGTTAAGAGTCTCAAGGACTTTCCTACCTAGGCTGGCTTTGAACCATGATCCTCAGATCTCAGCCTCCTGAGTAACTAGGATTACAGGCGTGAGCGACCAGCTCAATCACAAACTCTTAAAAGAAAAACAAAAACCAAAAAAGCCAACTAGTATTTCTAAGCAAACCCTCCACATTCTGGGCAATCTTCTCGTCTATGTATTCCAGTCCTTGGACACACTGAGCCCACTCTAGGCTGCTGCCGAGGATTCTTTCCTGCACTGTACCCAGAGCTTCCACAGTTCCAGCCAATCGTTCTTACTTACATCAGGAAGTCTGTACAGCTTCATGGTTCGCTGCAGTGTCATATTCCTACTCAAGTGAGAAAATTTCACTTCTACTAATTTTCTGGGATTTAGGGATCGATGCCAATACCTGGAACAGACAATGAAGGCTTTAAAATCCAATTGATCTCTTAACTCTGTATCTTTCTGCTCTGTGTCAGCTGAGTTGTTCCAGAAACACTCATGCAATACATATGTTGTGCTAGGCACAGTGCTGGGCACAATGCTTTTTGCCAGCCCCCCTCCTAGATGATGAGTTTTGTTTCTAAAATGTCTTGCATCCCTAGTTGCTGTTGGATTGGTGGTTTTTTTTGGTCAGTTGTAGGGCTGGAACTCAGAGCCTGGGGGCTGCCCCTGAGCTCTTTTGCTCAAGGTGAGTGCTCTACCACTGAGCCACCTCCCCAGCTCTAGTGGTTAATTAGAGGTAAGAGTCTCACAGATTTTCCTGCCCAGGCTGGCTTTGAACCATGATCCTCAGATCTCAGCCTCCTGAGTAGCTAGGCTTATAGGTATGAGCCACTGGCACCCACTTTTGTATTTCTTATGTGTAGGGACTTGGATAAGTAATGTATAATAAAACATCGGTAATGTCTGTTCTTCCTGTTTACAAAAGTAACAATAGGTTATATTAATTTTATGTTTTTAGTTTTTATGCTGTTTATTTGAAGTTTCATCCTGTTTCAGTCCATAAAAATAAAAACTCCCTCAATATCCTAAAAATAGGAAGTCTGAATATTTTTCTCACTGGACCAATCTGTGATCTCAATTACAGTGGAAGCAGTTAGTCATGGAACCAGAGTTTATGCCTTCCTCTTACTTCTAGCAATCAAGCACATCTGGGTTTTCCACCGATCATTATCAGCCTTGGAATAGCTCAGTGTAGAAAATTAGACAGCAGATCACCATGCACACAGACCACTCAAATTGAACAGAATAATTTAATAATTATTTAAATAATTAATAATTATTTAAATAAATTATTTAAACAATTATTAAACTTAATAATTATTTAAATAATTTACATTTAAATTTATTTTAAATTAAATTTATATTTTATTAAATATAAATTTAAATTTAATTAAATTTATATTTAAATAATTTAATAATTATTAAAATCACAAACCAGGTAACTGCATGACAGTCTCTATCTCTGCCACAGGTGATGCGCATATTCCCAGAAAGCCAGCATGGTGTCTGAGTTTAGGCCAGAGGAGAGAACTCTTCTGAGCAAAATGGCAGAGGCTGGTTGAGCTGTGGAGAAGGGAGGACCTGAGTAGGGATGGGGTGTCCTCACCTGCATGTGGCCACTGGCTTCGGCAGAACCACTCCGGCAGTGTACACCGCCTGGAAGATCCCCTCCAGGTTCACTCTTCTAGTTATTTCTCGAATCAACACTGGGGCGACCCGCTTTGATCTCAACTTCTTGTGAACACAAAGGAAGTTGATTTCTACCATCCTCTTCACACTAACCAAGACATTGAAAATCCAACCAACATGAGATAGAGACATTTTAAGAAAACTAGACAATATTTTCATGAACACCTGATGAGTAAGAATGTGGAAGATATCCTTTAACACTTATACAAGAAAAATATTCTCTCATATTGACATTTCATTAATTCAGAATGAAATACCATTTGCAAACTTGATTGTAATGCAGACTCAATATCTTTGTTCTAAAATTATGACTCCGATCTTTCAAACTAAAAGAATGGATTGGGATGGGGAGAACAATGGACTGGGTAACATGGATCAGGACGTATTGTACTCATAAATTGATAGACTGAGTTGAAAACTCTTTGTAGAACTATGTAAAGATAATCAAAAACTAAAGACTTCGGTCTTTTCTAAGTTTTTGTTTTAGTAGTTAGATGAGACATGCCTCAAAATTTCTGTGTTTCTCCTGTATGTAATTATGGCCGTTATTGGGTGATACAGATCCCACATCTGGTGAGATGTCACTCAAGAACACAATACAAAATGGAAAGACTTGGAAAAAATTGTATTAAGTGAAGTAAGTCAGGCCCAAAGAAACATAGGTCCCATGGTTTTCCTTATTTGCAATAACTAGTATATGTGTGAGTCAAGCAGAAAAGCGAAGATAAGTTGATGAAAGGGAAATGAACCCTAAGATATGTATTCAAATGTTTTTTTTTCCATGCGATTGTTTGTAACATATTTATAAGATGATTTCTTTGTTGCTTTGTATGTCCCCCACCCCCGACAGTATAACCCCTGCTTTCACTGTATTTGATGTTGGTATAATTTGTGGAGGGGAAGGGAAAAAACAAATCGTTTAAATAGGGATACAGGTGGACCCATTGCAACAATGGGATGTACAAGTTGTTAGTTCGAAAATGAACTTTACAACTTAGGTGGGGGGGAGAATTGTGGAGGGGGGGGGGGGGATGGGAAGGGATGGGAAGGAAAAACAAAGGAGGAGGCTACAATGCTTGATAAGAAATTCACTCATCTTGCCCATGTAATTCTAACACCTCTGTCACCTCTGTACAGTATTTTTACAATAATAATAATAATAAAAAGAACACAATACAAATCCCAGGGGCCCTACGTGGGCCTTGGTGGACCACAGCTGGTACTTTTTGAATCTACTATAAGCCTAAAGCTACAAGGCCCAAGCCTGGCTCTGCTTCCAAGTCCCAGAGCCTTCATTCAGCATACAACACTCCTGTGATCACATGCTTTTATCAGAAAATAAACTACCTGTCAATAGTCAACAGACTTACTACACATCAATCAAATTTTTGTTATTTTTTCATAGCTGGGTGTTTGACATGTAGGATAGAGAGTCAAAGCAAAAACCAAACTGATTCATCTGAGAAAATTTTTATTCCTCTTTTTTTGGCCAGGTCCTGGGACTTGAACTCAGGGCCTGTGTGCTGTCCCTAAGGGTTTTTTTTTGCTCAAGGCTAGTGATCTACCCACTTGAGCCACAGCTTTACTTCTGTCTTTTTTGGTGTTTAATTGGAGATAAGAGTCTCACAGACTTTCCTGCTTGGCTTAGCTTCATACTTTGATCCTCAAATCTCAGCTTCCTGAGTAGCTAAGGTTTACAGGTGTGAGCCACCAGCACTCAGCTCCTTCAAAAATTTTATGTTAATTTTTTTCTACAAATAAACCCAATATGCTTATTTGACTTTGTTTATTCTGACACATACACATACTCATAAACCTGTGTATACATACATAATATGTGTATGTGTGGGATATCTGAGAGAGAGGCAGAGAAAAAAGTCAGAAGAGAAAGGGAAGGAAGGAGAGAGAGGGGGAAAAGAAAGAGGGAAGAAGGGAGGGAGGGAGGGAGGGAGGAGGAGGAAGGGAGGAAGGAAGGGAGGAAGGGAGGGAGGAGAAGGAAGACAGAGAGACAGATGTCTCTGTTCACTTCTTTTAATAGTCCAAGCTTTCCTTTAAAAAGAAAAAATCACAATTCTAACCTTAAGAGTTCTACAGGGGGGCTGGGAAGGTGGCTCAGTGGTAGAGCGCTTGCCTTGCATGCCTGAGGCCCTGGGTTCGATTCCTCAGCACCATATAAACAAAAAGAAAAAATCTGGAAGTGGCGCTGTAGCTCAAGTGGTAGAGTGCTAGCCTTGAGCTGAAGAGCTGAGGGACAGCGCCCAGGCCCAGAGTTCAGGCCCCACGACCGGACCCACCAAAAAAAAAAAAAAAAATAGTTCTACAGGGGCTGAGAAGGTAGATCAGTGGTAGAGTGCTTGCCTTGCATTCATGAGGCCCTGGGTTCCATTCCTTGGTACCACATAAGCAGAAAAAGCTGGAAGTGGTGCTGTGGCTCAAGTGATAGAGCACTAGCCTTGAGCTGAAATGCTGAGGGACAGCGCCCAGGCCCAGAGTTCAGGCTCCACAACCGACCAAAAAAAAAAAAAAAGAGTTCTAGACTCACATCAAAATTGAGCAGAGCTCCCTTCTTCTCATCCCTGTCCCCTTCCAACTATCAGCAGCTGCAGTAGCCAAGCTCAGAGAAACAAAAGGCACATGCTTTCTCTCCTATGCAGAAACTAGATCTAAAATACACTGGGACATGACAAATGATAAAAGACTCTAGGCATTCACATACAGTGAGACCAAAGAAGGATATTCTTAGGGGAGGATCACAAAGGCTCAATACCTAATGTGTATTTCATCATATAAAGTAACATTTATTGAAATGAATTTCAGAAAATGGAAGTTAGAGGTTTTTGTCTTGAGTTCGTTTATCTGTCTTTGGGAGGGTAATGGGGGCATAGAAGTGGAAGGACAAAGCGTGCACAAATGCAGTAATGGTACTCCCTGGAGACTGTGCTGAAAATGAACTGCAACTTGTGGGCAGGGGAAACTGGGAGAGTGAGGGAAGGGTGACACTGTCCAAAAAGAAAGGTACTCTTCACCTGACTTGTGGAACCGTAAACCCCTCTCTCTATCACCCTTATAACAACAATGGAAATAGTTGATTTAAAAAAAGGGCCACTCCAATCACGATTCTCAGCAAGAAACACCAGCAATACTAGCAACAAGCTTTCACACATACCTGTCGTAAATCCGGATATTGGCTGGGATGGCACTTATGAACCCTACTAGTTTCTTATTGGAAGACACTCGGACCCCACAGTGCCACTGCATCAGCCAGCCTGGGGGACGCAGAGCCCTGAAATTGAGGTGGACAAGAAAGAAAGCTGGGCATCACTGGGCGCACGAAAACCCAGGGGCAGACACAAGACCATTATCCCCAGGCCCCGGTCACAAGCAGGACAAGACATACCACAGCAGGAACTCCGGCGAATAGTCGAAACGGAACATGTTGTCATCATCCTCTACGTAATTCTCGTTTAACAACGTGTACAATTCCTTGAGCTGCAAGAGCAAAGAGAAAACAGAACAGCGCCCTGTCTGCAATGCTCAGGACCACTTCACAGGGGATGAGAGGGATGTCTGGGTGGGTGTGGGTGGGCAGCTGCTGAACCTGGGAGTTTTACTCACCACCTCGGCATTACCCAAGTCCAAAGTATCCCACATAAAGCCCTGTGGCAGCGAGTATGGCTCCTGCCGCACGTGGTCTTTGTCAGGTTCAATTGCACCATGGGAAGTTACTACTTCATCTGGGGAAGGAAAGATTAAAAAAAAAAAGTGGGAGGGGAGAATATCAAATTGCAAAGCATTCAGATAATCAGTGATGTAAACAAAAATCAGATTTAAGAAGCCAGGGTTTCATAGAATCTTCCAAAATATGCCATTAAGTTGGGTTCTGGTGTGTCCTGAAGCAGAAAAGCAAGGCACTGGTGTGAAACTCACTATTTTGCCAAAATCACAGGAGGAATCCTGGGACACCAATTCCAAGGATATAGTAAACAGAGCCCTAAGAACCTATGTATGAAATGGATATTTCTCAAGATGAGTGGCTCACACCTATTATCCTAGCTACTAAAGAGGCTGAGATGTGAGGATCACGGTTCAAAGCCAGCTGGGGCAGGAAAGTCCGTGAGACTCTTATCTCCAATAAACCACCAGAAAAACCGGCTTAAGTGGTAGAGCTCTAGAGCCTTGAGCTGAAGAGTTCAAGGACAGCACCCAGGCACAGAGTTCAAGACCCTTGACAAAAAAAGAAGGGCAGGGAAGGGAAAGGGAGGGGAGGGGAGAGGAGGGGAGGGGAGGGAAGTAAGTCAACTAAACATCTTGGGTGGGGATGGGAGGGAAAAACTAAAGAGAGCTAGGGAAAGGGTGACATTACCCAGAAAGAAATGTCCTCTTTCCCTGACTTACGGAACTGTAACCCCTCTGCACACCACCTTATAATAAGACATTAAAAAAAAAAAAAAAAAAGAAATGGAGGTTTCATGTCCCTGGAAATGGTCTCATTTTACACTGCATTTCACAAGCCTGACCCCACCCCTCCCAGCAGCAAAACTTCAAATAAATTTCCAGAGTGGCAATTTCTCTCCTATCTTTACTGCTAGTCATGTAATCTATGCCATTACAGTCTCTAGAGATTTCCAAATTCTCTTCTGTCTAGTTCTTCCTGAGAGTATCTGTCTGCTTCAGATGGAATACACTTTAGAGTGACTTGTCCCCGGTGGCCAATGCCTTGCTCCTGGCTTGCTCCCAGCAGGCCAGCCCTAGCCCAGAGCTTTCCTGGTGCCTTCCTTCTGCTCAAGTGGTAGAGTGCCAGCAAGGGCAAGACCCTGAGTTCAAACCCTAGTACCGATCAAAAAGAACAACACACACACACACACACACACACACACACACACACACACACACACACACGGGCAAGACCCTGAGTTCAAACCCTAGT